CGGCAGCAGCGGGGGGGGCGCGGCCCCTTTGTGCCGGGGCGCGCGGAGCCGTCGGGCCCACCCTGCTGAGCGGCGCCCCGGGGCGCGCGGGCACGGCGCCGTCGGGAGCGCGCGCGGTACGCGCAGGTGTGCCGGGCCGCGGCGGTGCGAGCCGGGCTCCTTGTCTTCCCGGAGTAACGGGGCTCGGTCAGCGCGTTTGTGTCCCGCGGTGATGGCAGTTGCGCTGCGGCGCCGTTTAACCTGCCGGGTCTCCTCTCACCTGCTGGAGGCTTTGTAAGCGGACGGCGTGCGCCACGGGCTGCCGCTGCTTCCTGGTGAGAGCAGCCCCCAGCACGGCGATGAGGGAGCCCGGAACGCTGCACACAGGTGCGTTTCGCAGCCTCCCCACAGTTCCTGGGCAGGCGTGCGAATGCAGCTCTGGCTCAAACTTGTGATGGTTTGCAAGTATCTATCCAGGAATCCGTGTTGCTTTTTTTTTTCCCCCTCTTTAAATTTAATCAAAATTTATAGCAAAACAACATTATACTGAATTCCGTGTGTCTGGGGGGATGTGATGAATCGAGTTCTGCTTGCTGTGCGAATAAAGTATTTTGGCGTGCCCTCCCCACCCCCCAACTGCAGGAGGTACCACCTGCAGAATTTACGTTTCTATGTTTTTAAAGGCCGTTTCTGGTTGAAGGGAGTGATGTAGGGCCAGGAAGTGGAGAATGGGAAATAGAGTTTACTCTTCGTAGGTAGTGCTTTCTCTTATATGTGTTTCTGTACATGGATTCATCCTACTAAAATACATTGATCCACTACATTGCTTCATACCGTGTTTAGCTTTTTGTTCTGAATTGGTGTGGCTGTCGAAGAAGGCAAGTCCAAATATCTTTTTTTTGTGTGAGCGATTTTGCTGTATTTGTATACATACACATACCCTACGTCTGGATGCATAGTGAAATTGAAATCTTTTGTTTGGCTGTTTTTCTTAGAGTTGAAATGGTAAATAATAATTCATTGTCCTTAACCAGCACTTGCTACCTTTTGTTTTGGTGGTTGTTTTTGTTCTACAACGTGACCTAGAGAAGAGCTCCAAACTGCAGAATTTCCTGTCTGTTTGGATCATTGCATCTTCACGGTGTCCTAATTTGTTAAGCTGTTTTGTGACATCCTTTCTGGATTTTCTTCTCTCTCCATGAATGTGCTGTTAGGAGGCGAGCCTCAGGAGCATGTTTACGTTGCATTCAGATTAGGTATCATGTCCAAGTTGAAGACAAAATGGCTACTTAGCAAAACGTCCCCTTTTATTCTGGGTTTTCTTTTCAAGAAAAGAGAGTATACGTTAGCGTTTTAAATGCAGATTGCTTCTTGCATTCAGGTACACTCAGTGAATAGCCTGCCTGCGTTGGGCACCAAGGAATGCAGAGCACTGCGTGAGGGTCTTGCTGGGCGCCCGGTGCCAGCAAGCTGTGCCAGCACCTTGCAGCCCCGTCTCCTGGGTGCTTCTCTGGCGTTCCCTGCAGGATGGTGACCTTTCCTCCCTGGCTACCTGGCAGCCTTGCACCATATTGGCACTTCTCTGCCTCTTCCAGACAGCATCGGCTCCGCTGTGTGCAGTGGTTTGTGTGCAGAAATGCAGTATTTAACATCAGGTCATTTCTGTAATAAAGCCTTTTTTTTTTTTTTTTTCCTAAATGTTTTCACATCCTTCATGACTTCTAGGATTTCTATGTGTTTACTTGTTTTTGTATAACTGTCAAACAGCCTTCATTTGGAGCTCAAGTGCCGTGTGAGTTCATGCCTCAGTGTGGCTGCAGTTGTTTGAGCAGTGCCAGGGCATTGTGCATGCTGCACTCAGAGCAGAAAGCCGCCCTTTCTGCACTGCAGCCTGGAGCCTGTTGTCCTGGTCAGTAGCTGCCGTGTGCTGATGAGGAGCAAGTAGTGCACGATTGTGGGAGGCTTGTGAAAATGGCAGTGCTCTGTTGCTAACATAGCTGGGTGCAACGTGCAGAAGAGAGCTTCCTCTTTTCTGCTTTTCCTCCTCTTCCTCCCGTGTCTCCCTGCCCTGCCAGCTGTGTGTGCTGACCAGTTGGCATGTCCAAGTCCTCATTTCCTTCCTTAAGGATTTAGCACACCTAGATAAGCACCCTTCTGTATTGTTTTCTGGTTTTTTTTTCCTCTTTTCTCCTACGCACTTGCATACAGTGGATGGATATTTTTAGTTGTTTTCATTTGTTTTTAATTTCTTTTTCAAAAAGATTTTAGTGTTCAGAAAGTGTTGACGAGGAAAATAGCGTAGCAGAATATAGCAGCTACTGAAGTGCTGGACTTGAAGATCACAAA